TCWSRRGARAAAAAAWAWAMAMAMACACAAAAGCACAAAACAAACCAAATGACAAAAACTAGAGGCAAGAAGTACAAAGAACACAACRCGAATAGAGAATAAAGCAGAAAACACAGCGAAAAAAGCAATAGAACAAAAACAAAACAGCAAGAACGCAAGTTGAAAAGAAGGCGCACAAAACAACGTCATTGAGAGATCAACGATAAACAAACAACTGAGCGATGGAAACAAGYAGAACTGAAATAACCAACCAACGAATGCTTATCAACGTCACAAGAWGACTAAAATATWMCACGAGGATGTAWTTTTAGATTTAGTCAGTTATATTTTGGAATATTCGCCTCAGAAGAAGATAACTCCTCTAACATTTGCGATAAAGATTGTTTACGATAACGGCTCATATTTTCAATGTTATGTCTAGAAGTWTGACTTGTATTATTCACGGGTATAAATGTTGTTCACCCTTACATCGTGTCATTCTTATCAGTAGGTCTCAAGTTCGACAGTCATCTTAATTTCAGCAGTTGTCTTGTAGCATATCTTCTCAGACTATTGAAATCCACATCTAGATATTTGCGCCAAAACCGTCTATCTCGTCCCCAAACCTCTGCAGGATAACAMGGACTACTTATACCGTGAAATATCCTTGCTACCGCTCGACCTGTGAACGACTGGTCGTGATGTATATTCGTCAAGGCCCTGATATCACGTGAAATGCCGTCCCAGTTCACGTGCTCGTCACGTGCGCTCTCRYTGCTAGTTGCGTCATTATTTACGCGCTCTTTTTTCAGCGCTTCGAGTTCAATCTGAGTAGCGTTGTTCATGTCGTCAAAGTAACCTTTGATRAGTGTTTTCAAWTCTTGATCACTTTCCTTATCAACTTGTTCGGAGCACTGCCAGTACTCACTGCAAGAGACATTCTTTAAGGACGTATACAACTGTGTAAGCTGTTTTAGTTGTGTTCGTTCCTCGGCTTGTATTCTGTCATTTACAAAGTCACATACTTCATCTCTGTCTTCATCACTTAAGTCTCCTGGTGTCCGTACATGTATTGCATGATCACTTAACTCGACCAAGATTCCMGACTGACCGGACGAGYTCATCTTGGAGTCTGGGGCTARCGAWGAATTCCACTGCAGCGCCCTGAGCTCTTTGTAGACTGGGTCTAGGTCCCAGCCCATTTTATCAGCGATTTCGACAACGGGAAAAACAAGCGAGCTTTGTTTCTTAAATCGTTTYTCTTTCTCGCAATGCACAACGGCGGCTGCTATTGGWGGAATTCGTTTGGCAACAGCTCTCAAGTGCGCATGACCACCATAGAACTTCACGGTACATGTAGCTTTTACGGGGTGCAGTACTTCAAGCCAGCGGTTTTGGTGCAGCTCAAGGTAGCAAAGCAAAGTAGCAATGCTTTCTTCGGGCATATCCAGTTCTTGAACTGCTGACTCGATTGCTATGGCAACGTCATGTCCTCCACAAATGCGAAGTCTTGATTGACCAGAAGAATTTCCCTCCACGTCTTCATCGGAATCATTATGATTAACGGCATGACTATTATGCTTTGAAATGGTCATTGGTTCTATTTCATCATTTGGAACATTGATCCTTCCTTCCATTTTGTCATTTCCTTGATCGYCAGTAACGCCGATCATTCGTTCCATTTTGTCATTTTCKTGATMRCCAGTAACGCCGATCATTCGTTSCATTTTGTCACTTYCTTGATCTTCATTAACGCTTATCATTCGTTCCATTTCGTCATTTCCTTGATCGTCAGTAACGCTGTTCAGTCGTTCCATTTTGTCATTTCCTTGACCTTCAGTAACGCCGATCATTCGTTCCATTTTTTCMACTTCAAGACCTTTATCTGCGATGGTATTGCYTTGCTCCTCGCAAATTTGACTCAATATCTCGTCTGWCACAAACTCTTCATTTTCATTAACCATYTGRTCCACTTSATCTGATTGWYGTCGACKTTYGCGTTGTTGTTGTRAATCGTGCARTTTCTTGCASTGACACCGAGGGAATAGTTTATTTACAAGCTTTTTGACGACCACTCGATCCACGGTGTTTGCATGAATGTGACGTTTTAGCTCATACATATCTTTACCCTACAATCAATAGAAGTAGAGCACAATCATTGCTGTTTTTCGTTTTAGAGTCGCATTAAATCATATGTATTTATTTTCATTGATCCATTAAATTGAAAACTTTCAAATTGATCAATTCATTGACCTAAATTGATCGATTGATGGTAGTTTGATCGATCGATTTAGTGATAGGCTGATTGATTACGGATTGATGGATTGAATTGAATGACACTTCGCTTGATGTAATTGTTGATTGTCGGTTAATTGATTTTTGATCGATTCATCTGATGCATTGATCGAGTCATCTGACTGTTTGACAGATGTACTGACGGACTGATTGACTGACTGTCTGACAGATGCACTGACGGAATGATAGATTGACTGACAGACTAAAACTACGAGTAAATAATCTCACTTACCTCACGATCGAGAAACACGTGACAATGAGAAGGTAAACCATCTCGTCCCGCGCGTCCAATTTCCTGGACGTAGCTTTCAAAGCTCTTTGGCATGTTGTAATGAATRATGGCACGAACATCTGACTTRTCCAAACCCATACCAAACGCTACTGTCGCGACTACAATCCTCAGTTCACCTGACATGAAGCGCTTTTGAACGCGTCGCCGTTGTGCTGCGCTCATTCCCGCGTGGTAGCTCTCCGCCTCCCAGGTTAGAGGAGATTTTGCAGCTTTCTTCTTACCACTATGGGGTAAAWCAGTAAATTGATGTAAGGACGCCATTATAGCAATGATGATGGCGGGYTTAAAGCTATTTTTGGYGATGATGATGATGATTATATTATCGATTTTAAGTATGTAAAGATAAATAATCATAAATAAGATAGATTATGTTACGAACATTTCCAACACTCCCGTACACGAAGTTTCAGAGACAGAAACAGAAAAAGTTTCGAAGCTACTGAAAACCATCAAATGTAGAATGACTTACATACCGTTTTTTGGCTTTCTTTTTTGACGTTTCCTCTYCTTCTTCATCATCATTTGCTGGTAATGGTGCTGAGGGTGTCATGTGTTGGAGACATGTTCTAACGAGCGTCGCYACACGTTCTGTTACCTCACGACGCGTACAGTAAATGATGATAGACTCACAATTTGAGAACCGAGGACCTTGTAGAAGTTCTATCAACGCCTAGTARAGCAAGAATAATTTAACAAAGATTATATAAACGCGGTAGAAAACATTTGTTGCTAAAGGTTCGCGATTTAGATTACGTTTTACCGACATGCTATCGGCGACAAGTGATGGTTTCAAGTTATTCCAGAACATTACGAACTTGAGAGGTTTTCTGTATATCGTATTTAATTTAAACCCTCAATCGTTTGCGTCTTCCTTTTTTCATTTATTGTCATATTTCTTCATTTCTTCATTTATCTATTTTACTTCATTTCATTTTCCAATTTACCTTATCCCGGTCGCGGTCACGTGACACAGATAAGTACAAATTAGGGGGAACCGCGGCACCTCTGATGACAGCCCCCTCGTCATTAGATATCCCAAGATGCTGCGCGACTGACGCTGCAGTAGCACGTGTAGCAGTCGCTGTCAGACCGAGAAAGCAACGAACTCCGAAGCGCTCCCGAAGAACCTGCGAAAAACAGTTTGGAAAATAAATACACTATTTGAGTATGTAAAACTCTTCAGCCATAATGTGAAGAAGTGAGCATTTCTTCTATCCTTACTAAAGAAGCATAAGGGGAGAGAGAGGCAGGCGTAGTTATCTCAAGTTCAGCCGTTTTGGAATTCATAAATATACATGTAGCACACGTACGCCTTTAAATTGTTATCGCCTTACCTTACACACACGRAGGTACGAYGGTCTAAAGTTGTGGGACCATTCAGACAGACAGTGAGCTTCGTCGATGCATGCAAARGCAATGGGTGGCAAACGTGCATTTGATGGCAGACACCCACCSCCTGATCCACTACCYACTAACGCYTCAGGAGASAGAAGAAGYACAGCWATCTTTCCTGATACAATGTTGTCTATGATTTTATCTCTTTGTGCTTTAGTYTGGTTAGTGTGAAGACAAGCKCCCTTTAAACCAAATGGAAGACCACCAATCTAAAGCAGGAATGGAATACCAATTGATTGATTGATTGATTAGCCAATTGATTGATTGATTACTGGAATGATTAAATGACTAGCCGTTTGATTGATTGATTGATTGATTGATTGATTGATTGATTGATTAGGCAATTGATCGATTGATTAGTGGATTGATTGAATGACTAGTCGATTGGTCGATTGGTCGATTGATTGATTAGTGGAATGATTGATTGGTCGATTAGTGGAATGATTGAATGATTAGATGATTGATTGATTGATTAGTTGATTGATTGATTAGTGGAATGACTGAATGATTAGTTGATAAGTGTTTGATCT